TGAACCACTGAGTATTATATTGAAAATGTGCCCTAAGAACAAAGACAAATGTTTTAATTTTAACAGCTGTCAACATTGCTGTTGAATTAACCTTTAGTTTAGCAACCCTTCTTTTCAATGATGGATCCAAAGCATTGGAGGTTCTTCTAAGTTTTTTGCAGCAATCTTGTGGTCAGTTTACATTCGACTATTTCATTACGACGAATGCTAAGAAGATATCAAAGGCACGAAAACAAATGACTGAGTCCGTAGAAGCTAGAAGAGCCAGAAGAATTAGGGTTAGAAGAGTCAAAAGTTAAAGCTAAAAGATGTCCTTATCTTTCAGGGGGTCGTTAAGATTAGCCCTTTTATTACTGCTGGGTTTTGGGGGGGGCATCAATTTTTGCTGACTCAGCAATAAAAACTTAGGAAGAAAAATTTTTTGGTATATTTCATTCTCTATCCGTCTATCCGATTCGCTTTTTAACTTCTCTATAGATTAACAAATAAAGAAATATATAGCATTGTAATATGACGTCTACGTGACATCCTAAGTATTTTTCAGAAAAGTTCTTTGACTTTTTGTTATGACGAGAATGTGACATCCTTGGTAATTGAAAGTGGGTGATCGTATCGTGGGGTTGAGGTCATTGGTAGCGAAGTGGTTAAAGAATTAATTTTTTTTATGAACAAAATTATTGCATGCTTATTCACAAAATTTTGATGTTTAGTTCACATAATTAAGCATACTTTTTTTCAATATTAACCAATTTTTTTGAAATTTTTCATGATGCTATTTTATATAATTGTCTATGGCATTAACTGAAAACTAAACATATTACAATATATTAGTAAGTACAAATTTTACAATCCTTCAAAGTATGATTTTTAAAGCATCAAAATTAAGATAGTTTGGGATGCTGGGATACAAAAAGTATTCAATAAATTACATTTTCTCCTAGTCCTGGCCATAGCTAATCAATATTTCTGTACAGTGAAAAAAGCATAATAAATTTTAACTTAAAACTTTATTTATAATTATTTTGTCTGACATGCCGATTTCAAGCATAATATATATTTTTTTTTTCATGTAAGCAAACTATTATGTATCACTTTGTAATGTTAATATTATATCTTATTATGTAGTATGAATATTCATCTAGCTTCAGTGAAAAATTGAAACTTGCAGCTTTAATAATTTTTTGTGAGAATATTATAGTAGTCTACTTACGTTCTGGGTGTACAAACCCCCCCCTCCCCCCCCGAAATATTAGCTGTAAATTTTGAATATTTGTTGCTATTTTATATCTTACTTTTAAATATAGTAAATAATTTATTGGACCGTTTCAATATTAGGGTTAACAGATCTAATCGTTTTTTAAAATTAAGGATCATATGTCATGATGCTTCCTTCCTTGCAGTACCCAACAAGTGCTGCAGTATATGCGTACGGCATGCTGAAGGCCATGAGACAGTGCTCAAGCAGTGATGAAGAAAAAGAGGGAATAAACATGCACATGGTGTTAGTTATTTTATAAAATTATAGGAAATTTGATACTTAAAAAAAAAAAAAGCATATTCGAAATGCATCATTTCCCAAATATGCAAAAAGATTAGAATCCCTGTAACTTAGCTTCTCCTTATCCTCAAAACAGAAAGTTTCAAAAGGAAGCAATCAAAACTGTAAACAGAACATACGAAGAGAGCCCCGAAGACACGTTAAAGCTACTGAGCCAGAGAGTTTCACGTTGGGGGAACACAACATGTGTATTGCTTGCCTTAAGGACTGGGAACAAGAAATTCCTAGCGTCACCGCCTTGCAAAGAGTTCCAGAAAAGAATGTGGCGGACGGGACATTTTATTGAAGATAAATGGGTAAATAAAATGTCTATGACAGGACATGTGCAGCTAAAGTTGTCCTTGATGTCGTCTGGAAACACTGGTTTTGAATTTCAAATTGAAAAACGTACATTGAACGCTGTAGTGTTGCGTCATACATTTTGTTGTAGCTACTTATTGAAAACGTATTTTAATATTTGCAAGTTAGAAATTTATTTTACATTTACACTTTTCCTGAGCCTGCTGAAGTCTTATCATCCCTAGTATAAAGACAATTTCACTTTTAAGTATATCTTTGATACTTCAGCTTTGCCCTGGTAAATTTCACATGAAATTTATTCCTTAATATATACATATATATGAAATGTGCTAAGTGTTATTAGCCTAATTATCCAATAAAAATTTTATAATGATATTTTCTTTTGTATTAAAAAATTAAGGTATTAAGTTTACCTTACTTTTGTTTTTAAATTTATTTTAATAAATATATTTTTTGAGCTTTTCATCATGTACGCATTGAAATATCCAAGATTTAAGTGGTAAGAAGCTGTTCTGTTGCACGTTGCAGTATTCACTTTTTAAACAGATTTATTACTCATTTTAAGGCATGCAAGAGATGTAATTTCAAGACAGATTCAAGCACACACATAAAAACTAAATTGTAAGTAGATTTTAAAATTAAAAAATAATTAAAATGCAACTATATTTTAATCATGTCGGAAATTTTTTAAACATAAATTATTTCAAATAATTTTGACTATAAATATGTGTGTCTCTCTGTCTGACTTTCTTTCCAGGATATGTCCAAAGTGCAATGCACAAAAAACAGAAAAGAAAGAAGATCATTGCCTAACTCCTATTTGCCCTGCTACTTGCTTGGCTGACAATTTTGTAAGCAAGGCACATTCTTAATTTTTTTAGAAATCATTTTACATCATGTTATAGTTGTGGCTCACTGAAGGGATTCAAATTTAATATGTTCCTATTCTTTGAATTTATTATTGAAGAGCCGCCTTATCGTATTTATAATACTTTTTCCCACGCTATTGATATCTGTTTTTGAGATTGAATTCCACTGGGAGGAAATGTGTGAAACGGGTATGGTAAAACCTGAAGAAAAACAATGACCCTCCAAAACAACAAAGGTTTCCACAATGAGCCGTCTTCAGGGAGCAAACAAAGACTAGCGCAAATATAAAAATTAAAACTTCGCTGAAATATTTCTGAATGCAGAATCGAAAATCGCTGGGTAAATTGGCTTTAAGGTAAAGAAATATAGTTTGTTTTCCTTGTTTCAACATGTGTTTTTTTGGTTTTTTTCCAGACTTGTGATAAATGTGGTTTTGAGGGTGGCAAAAGAGAACTAATGAAAAAAGACCCGTAAGTGGATTTCAATTACAAGAAAGTATAGCATTTTTAAATGTACCAAAAAAAAGTTTTGATTAATCAGGACTATTTTTAAAATATAGATATTTAGACTTATTTTATTCATAATTTCACTGTGGTTCCATACTTTGTTTTCAGAATATGCCCCAAGTGCAGCTCGACAGTGAACCAATTAAATCAGCTCCGATATTTGCTAAGCCCTGCTACTCTTGTCCTTCTAAAATTCGTAAGGATGGCTGTGTATTAAATTTTTTTCTTTTTATTTCAAAGTTTTCCATTGTTCTAGAATTCTATGGGGTATTTATTGAAGTAATTGCATTGACTGTTTTTAAAACATTCATATTCTTTGAATATTTTGTAAAGACCAGCCACGTCTTGTTTCTACTACTGTACGCCATGTTGCTGATATCTGTTTTGGAGACTGACTTCCACTGGTTGGAATGGGTGATCTGGGCGTGGATTGTAACTGGGTTTGCAGAACAAATCAACCAGGTATTTCTTTTTGAGAGAAGACTTTGTCTAAAAACTATTCACATTAAGACACTTTTTCACAATTTTTAAGTGTTAAACAATAATTGCATTGATTTTTGAAATCCTGTATATTAACTTCACTTATGTTTGTGTGCTCATGGCAAAATCTTTGGAAGGCTTAATGAACCACTTTTCATAATCCTTTTGACCTCAAACTCTGCACCTAGACTCATTGCCGACAATATCACATTTTTTTTTCAAATATTGCAGCCCTTACTCTCAAACCCAACGCCCAAAATTTAGTTTATCTTGTTTTTAAATGGGAAGCTAATTGGACCACTTCTCCTCATCCTATCGAGCTAAAATTTGGCACGTAGACTTGTTGTCAAGAGTCAATGACAACACATTCTTTCAAATTTTCAGCCCCATCCTAACCCCTAAAAATCTGTTTTTGTTTTTCATGGGTAGGGAAAAGCTATTCCTTTGTTAAAAGGGTGCGTGTTTTAGCGTTGAGATTAATTGTGTGGCTGTTGCTACATGCTTTTTGTTTGTCACCAATTGGGTATGCAGTAAAAATAATATGTATTTTTGAAGGGAAAAATGAACGAAATATGGCATGTTTTTTTTGCCAGAATTATACCATTTACATAAACGCATCTTATTAAATGATAAGGTACAAACCATTAAATACATGCAAGCAAATTTGGATATAAAGGATTTATGTGAAAAACTTTCTTTTTAGTGGTTAATTTTATTATGAAGTGTAATTCTTTTATTTTTAGTTCATCCGGAATCCATTGAACAAAGTCTACGAGAGACACCAAGGGAGGGTATTTGATTGGATTGAGTGTTTCTCTCTACTGCTATTCATCATTGCCTGGCTCTGTCCACGGTTAATTGCCCATTATTATCCAGAAAACACGGATTGGATGAACTGGGCCCGGGTATTATTTAGCATCGATTACATTGGATTCTCAGTTGGTTTATTGGAAGTTTGCTATTATCACAAGCTTCTAGGTCCAATTCTGCTCATGATAATGAGAATGGTATGTAAATGCGCCAATATTTTTTTAAATAAAATAAAAATAAAATGTCCAGACTTATCTCTGAAATGTTATAATTGATTTTAACAACGTTTTATTATTTTATGAATTTATATGTCTAAAATATTCTAACTTTATATAATAGCACACATATAATATAAATAAAATTTATTTATTTGTTTTTTATCACAACAGACAAGACTTCTGGTACAGTTTATTTTCATAGTGATGATATTCTGCCTGGCCTACGCCATAGCATCCGAGTCGGTGCTGTACCCGACATCACAAATGAACCCAAAGCTGGCTTTTTACGTCACGAGAAAGGCATTCTGGGCAATGTTCGCAGACTTCAATCTCGATGAAATAAATGGTAAGTGGGTCGTTGTTAGCTGTCTTTGCTATAGGTCAAAGCAAGTGACTGATTATGAGAGCTCTTCTTGCTGTTGATTTTTTTATTTTTTTCTTTTATGGTCAATTTACGTTTTACTCAACAAGTGAATGTTGTTTTAAAGAATGGAAAGAAAAAAAAAAAGAAACCTAAAATCAATATATTTACTCACAACATAGGTGATTCTTGCACGGACGACTCTGACATCTACAGAACATATGAACAGTCGAGATGCCCCACCACTGTTGGAAAATACTATGTTCCCCCTCTGATGGGCGTCTACTACATCATCGTCAACATTTTGTTGTTCAATTTACTCATCGCCATGTTTAAGTAAGTTGAAGGTGTACCGCTGTCCAATTTTATAAATTGTGTGTATGGTCTTGGGCTGCCCCCAGGGGTGCCGTTGTAAAAATGTGGTGGGGGTGGGGCGAACTATTTATTGTTTACCTTATCAATTCTCATTGATGATTAAATAATTCAGGTTTTATATTTTCTGGTTGTTTAAATATTAAACTTCCACTTCAGCCGTTTGCCTTTTTATGTGTAACTTGTGTTTCCTTTTTTTTTTTGTTTTAAAGCTCAAAAATCTCCGTTGTATACGAGAAAGCTGAAGAAGTCTGGCATCATCAGAAAATGCAATTGACCATGAAATACTGTAAGGTGCTCATTTTACCACCACCTTTTACATTGCTTCTTCCATTACTCTTTTTGTGTCGAGGCAGTGACACAGAAGACCCTTTCGGTATGGCTACAACTATAATAGTGAAGTTTTCTGATTTATTTATTTATCTAAAAAAAAATTATAGTTTTATGGTAGTAATTTTGAAACAACACCTTTTTCTTGGAAAAAAACTTCCTGTAAAATTTATTTTATACCGGTAACTAAAAAATAAATAATTTAAAATTTGTTTTTTGCATTCACCATTAATCAATTTTTATTTTCTATATTTTAGCACAGCCAGTTCAGGATTTTGAAGACATAAGGCTCCAACGATTGCAAATGTTTGCTCAGAAGAAGACTGAAAAGGACGAAATGCCAACGTGAGAGATTTGTGTTAACAAATATTTATGTGACCACATTAAAAACTAATATTTAAATACAGATTTTCAAGCCTTGGACCTTAGAATTATTGATGTGGTTATTTTTACATCTGTATTTTAAAAAAAAAAGAAAAGACTTTTGGATGATTAATTATTTCAAGTAATCTACTTCTTATTTCAGACTTGTCTGCAATGGGGTTATTGCGTGCCCACATAAAGGTAGATACAGAATTTTTACTCCATTTATATAATTAAAAATTATTTTTTTTTATTTAATTGTTAAGATGAAGCTATTTATTAATTCTGTTAACTCCAATTTAATTTTTTTTTCAGGTCGACAATTAAAGTAAAATTTTGAATTGAATAGTGAGATTAATAATTTTTTTACAGACCTATCCTAACCCCTAAAAATATGATCAAGAAATCTTTTGATAAATATTAATTCCTCGCTTTTTGGATGATTTACTAGCTATCAAACTAATAAGGGGCCGTACATTAATGACGTTAAGCCAATTTTTTTTTCTACCCCAAACTCACCAACCCCCTCCCCAACCTCTCCCAAACAAATGGGTAGCACAATTTAGTCATCATCATTAAACATTGTCACAAAAATGTAAACCCAATCCCCCACCTATGCATACAGAGGCGATTATTGATGGCTTCTTAATAGCGATTTCATTTTATTGTAAAAAAAACAACAACATGTCTTGCAACTAAACACTGCTATTACATAAAACAAGTCTTACGTAGCTTGATATTTATGATTATTTAACTTCTCTGAAAAATTATATGTTACCAATTGAAATAAGGAGATGTATGTGATACTAGTGTAAGGTTAAAGTTTTAACAATCACCATCTGAATGAAAGAAAATTGTAAAGCTTGATGATTCAATACCAAATGTATAACTACTTTACAGTTTAATTATATTTTTTTAAAGAAATTTTATAAATGTAATTCGTTTGTATAAGATGTAATTTTTTAAAAAACTGTTATTTATTTCTAATTAACAGAATAATTGATTTATTTATTTTTGTTTGCACAGTTGTCATCATAGAGAATAAAAAAAACCCAAAAAGTCAGTTCTCCAATTCTCCTTGTTATATTATTATATTCTATAATTATCAAAAATTTTCAATCAAGAAGCAAACTTATTCCTAAGATTACAGTGGTGTCCTTTTTGAATTTATATTGTTAGGTCTAGATTTGAAATATGTACATCTTAATCTCCATGTCTGCGTGTGGGGGCACTCGCACATGGTTCCATGTTCACCAGAGTTAGACTTTGGCCACAGGACTTTTGGTGAACAATGCTAAGTGTAGATCATGGCCTTGCATTGACAGTTAAGAACATAACTCTTAGTATTTTTTAAGAGTTAAAAGCTTTTGGTGTATATTTCCATGAATCAGTGGAGTTTAGAGCATCATAGAAGGTTTTATGATAAAGTGCTATATTGTGGGAAGGTTTACGAAAAGGGGGGTATGGTATTTATAATTTCAATTACTTATATTCACTTGAATTAGTTTTCCTTTTTTAATTGAGAAAATATTTTGATTATTTTTTTTAAAGAAGTAAACAAGACAAAAAATTTAGGAATTGAAGGTAAGTCAATATAGACAGGGAGAGATAGGAAAGGGAGGGGGAGAGATGAGGAGAGAATGAGAGAGGGAAGCGATAGAGGAGAGAGAGAGAGAGAGAGAGGAGGGAAAGCAAATAGAGAGAGAGATGGAATAAAGAAGTGAGGAAATGGAAATTAGCAAAAAAAAGATGAGAGCGCTAAATAAAATAATATTACTGGTCAAATAACATTAATGGCAAACTTCAAACACTTAAGTTTTTTAACTACTTTCTATTTCTTGTTCTTTCTTCATTTATCATGTCTGCTGAGGAAGGCTCTTAGCTCAAATGTTCTCTCTTTTGTTATTGTCCTGTCTTTCTATTTCAAGCTGCCACATAGATTTATTCCATTATCTTCCCCTCATATACCATTGAACGGAGTCCTTCATTTATTATCCAATATAAAAATAATTACAGATAAACAATGAAGTATGTAAACATCAGCTAGCTTTCTATAGCTTTAAAAATTACTCGTTTACGGAAAATAAGATGTAGTTTTGGGGTTATGAAAAATATATATTTATTTGGGACTTTTTTTTAAATATAGGAGAAGTTTATTTAACAATTTAAATTTACTGATATTTTCAACAAAAAAATCTAAATACAGCAATTTCTTTTGATTTTATGCGTAATAAATTCAAGGAAAAGCAGAACTTAAAGAACAAGAACAAAAAATAAGTTCTGAAAAATTTCAAGTAACTAAACAAAGTAAATTTTTTGGGGGGGGGGGGGGACACAAAAAGAAAACAATGTAAACATTTTCCTTTTAATTTGTTTTACTTTTTCAAATTTTTTTTTAAAAAAAAAAAAAAAAAAGATATAAAAAAATTTAAAAAAAAAAAAAAAAATAATTTTTGGGGGGGGGGGGGGGACACAACAAGCAAACAATGTAAACATTTTCCTTTTAATTTGTTTTACTTTATCAAATTCTTTTTATTCTATAAATCAAGCTTCCAGCCAAACTGAAAAGAGAGGAACAACTGAAGGTAAGACAGTTGAATCGTGTTTCTTTTATTTTGTTGCAATCAGTTTTTCAATTCAAATCTTTTTTATAGTTTTTATCTTATGAGCATATTATTGTTTTTTTTCTCCTTCCAATCCCTTGAATGGATTAAAAAAAAATAATTTCCAGTTACATTATTTCATAATTTTTTTAATTTATCCCATCAAGGAGGAGTTCATCAGAGAACTGCAGTTATAGACAAGTGTTGCAATAATTTTTTCCCATTCTTATCAATCTCCCCCAGGTTCTATAAATTAAATTTACTGACAACACTCATCCTTTTATAGAGACGGGACATTTAGAATGGTATTAAAAGCAATAGTTGAAGAATGCTACTTCATTTTACTCTTTGCTTGTTGAAACTGTATCCTGGTTATAGTTTATTTCAAAGACCCTTCTCTATTGCTCTAAGTCTAAGGAAGATTTATTTTGGTCTTCACTAGTTTCATTTGTGCGAGATGTCTCGAAGAGTTAGCTAGATGGCAGGCTTTAACAAGTGGCCAAGATATCTCCAGGGAGCTTCTAACTTGATTTAACCAATAGATTTCATCTCCCACATTACCTTTTAATTCTCATTGGAGACTTTCTATGGCCGGACATTCTATGGATGTTGCGTAGACCTTTGGTCTGGAAATCGTCTTACTTTCATCTTGATGTTTTAAATGACGTCCATCACTCTGGTCCATGCTCATCGTAAAACTCATTGTATTGCTTTTAGATCAGTCCTAACAGTAGATGCTCAGCTCTGTTGGGTTGCTCAGGTCTGCTGACCTCATTATATATTTAAACATTTCATTCGCTTGTCAGTGTTGTGAAATAGCTTTGATTCACTTTCTTCAATAATCATCATCAGACAGGAACTCCACTGACACCTCAGCTCTGTCACATCTTCAAGCGTGTTTTTTTTTCATTCCGAGGGATTGGTCATCCTGCTGTCTGATGTCAACTAGCAGCCCTATGCCATGTTATATTTTTGGTTTCATTTTTTTGTCTTTTCCTTTTGCATATAGTACTTTCCAGATAATAGTGATCAAGATAGTCTGAGATGTCAGAATTGATTTCTGCATCCTTTTCTTTCATTATCTTTTCTGTGGCCTGTGACTGATTAAGTGAAAAACATATTTCAAAGCTTAAGAGACGCTTCTTCTTCTAGAAAATATCCTAAAAAAAAAAAGCATCCAGGGTCTAAAGGCAAGTCAAGCTAAGTTATAATACTGGTTCAGCAATAAAATTTAAATCAAATGTAGCATTATTATTAGATCCAAATTTACATGCAATTTACAGTCAAATTAATGCATCATCCTGTCATGATTAGTCAGATTATTGTGGTGAACTATGGTATTCAGTTGTTGAAAGTGGATATGGTTCGTAAGTACAGGGAAAAAAAAAGAACACATTTTTTTCTTATTTATTCCTTAGAAGTTTGTTGGTTATTTTTTTGGGGTAAAAAAGAGTTGAAAGGGGGCATTGAGTGTGTTTAAGTAGCCACAATATACAAAAGCTATTAAAAAAAAAGACAATCTTAGACACAAATGAAATGTTGTATTGCTCCAGGTTGAAAATAAAATGGTTTATTGTTTTATTTTTACAATGCTTTAACGGATGAGGTTGCTATTGCCCTGTAACCATAAATTGATGGGATTCCAGTTTATGACTTTCTTTAACTTAAACTTATTTCTAAAATATAAATGTAAATTTACAATATAAGATTTGCATTAAAGTAAAGTGTGTTCCTTTAATGAATTTAAAATCAACTCCATGATAAGATATTGCATCAAAGTTTGTTAAGTATTAATTTTGTTTAAAAGCATATGATTTATAATACTTTATCATATATGAAATTACTCACTTACTAAAAGAAAAATAATAATTTAAACTTATACCATTAAAATATATGGAAAAAATATGTACGTCACATTGTCAATAATTCTTAATTTCCATGGCATAAA